CGACCCAGGTTCGATTCCCAGCATCCCATATAGTTCCCCGACCACCACCAGGAGTAATTCCTGAGTGCATGAGCCAGGAGTAACCCCTGTGCATCACTGAGTATGACCCAAAAAGAAGAAAAAAAAAAGAAAGACAGCAGGGCCTGGCCCTCAGTGGTGGGTATGCGCACCACACCTCCCAGCAGTCTGCAGGAAGGTGACCTACACACGCAGGCCACAAACTGAGACAGCCAGAGAGACCAGGAGCCTCTCGGGAAGCGCAGAGATCTCAGAGAAGCCTTTGGACTGCAAGCCAAAGGGATCGGGTCGCAAAGGGCAGAGAGGCCTCAGCTGACCCAGGGTTGCACATCCTGCATGTTTCATAACAGGGTGAGGAGGCAGCCCTTGTTCTGGTGGGAGAAGAGGCAGTTCGGCCACCACTCTGAGCCACCAAGAAATAGGGAAGGCTGGATGGCTTCCCCAAACCCGATGTGGGGAGAAGAGGAGCAGGGGCCAAGGCAGAAGGTGGGCTTCAAAGAGCAGAGGTGACCACAGTTGCCCCCCTGCCCCCTCCCCTCCTCCCCCCAGGGCTGCTCCTTCCTGCTTGAGGGTGTAGCCAGGGCAGAGGTGAAGGGAGCGCCGTTGCATCCTAGTTTAGAAAAACAGAGGAAATGCACGTTGAGGAATCTGGTTCTAACTAGTGTGTGTGTGTGTGTGTGTGTGTGTGTGTGTGTACGAGTGCGTGTGTTTGTGTGTGTGCATAAAGGGTCTTAGGCAGAGATTGGTGCAGTCACATCAAAAAATTAAGGAGCATAGATGGTCCTCACAGCTGTCCTTGGAGCCTGTACAGACCCTTGAGTATGAGGGACATATCCTGGGCTCTCATGGCAGACTCCAAACTGGTTGCTTGGTTGGTTATTTTTGGTTTGCGGCCACACCCAGTGACACTCAGAGTTTAGCTGAGGATCACGCCTGGTGGGCTTGGGGGAACATAGGGGGTGCTGGGGATGGCACTCCGGTCAGTTATATGTAAGGCACATGCCCTACCCATTGTGCTCTCTTTCTGGGCCACAGCTGACTCCAAATTGGAAGGGCCGAACCCCAAGGCCTGTTGCTGGAGATGGGCCTCTCTGGCCTGGACTGAGGATGTCCAAAAGTGGTCCCCTACACCGCAGGTGCCAGTCTCACCAATCATGGCAAAGAGGTCCGAGTGGTAGACAGAGCCCTGACGATGCTTGCTCTTCTCTAGCTGCGGCCTGTAGAGCACCCGGGAGAGGACCAAGCCAAAGTAGGCACCAAAAGTGTGGATGGTCATGGAGCCACCTGCATCCCTCACCTGGGGAGAGACAGCTAAGGTGAGGCTGTGAAACTCGCCCCACCCCATCCCACGCTCTCCCCTCCCCTGCATACTCACCCCCAGGAGACTAAGAAGCACGAATTCATTGACGCCAAACAGCACCACCTCCAGCAGGGTCATGAGCAGCAGCTGAGCTGGTCCAGTCTTGCCCAGCACTGCCCCGAAAGAGATCAGCACTGCCCCAGCACAGAAGTCAGCGTTGATCATGCTGGGGGGGGGGGGGGGTGGGGAGGGGGAGAGGCTGAGGACAGAAAGCAGGGAAGCAGCAGGGAGAGGGCAGGGTTGCACCCGTGTGTGCAGGGACCTTGCCTTTCCTAGAGAGGAGGTAACAGGAGGTGCTGTGACTCGGGGAATAAAGCCTAACGAGGTAGAACAACCAGATCTCACAAGCAAGAGCTCCTCCAAACCTTGCCCTTTCCCATGAAGCTAGCCTCCCCATGGCTCTTGGGTAATCAGGAGCTTACAGAAGGAGAGAGAAGCAGCTAAGGGTTTGGGTCTGGAAGGAGAGAAGAAATGGGCAGCTAAAAAGACTGTCACAGTGTCGGTTCTGATGCTTCCGCACCTCCAAGGCAGAGAGTGGAGTGGGCCCCTGCCCCCGACCATGCCCACCTCTCCACGCTCACGTGGATGTGACCTCCATGGAAGGAGTGGAGGAAGCCCTGCACCAGCGTGGCCCACTGCAGGGCAAAGGCGGCCAGGAGGAAGGTGAAGCCCACGCTGCTGAAGCCATAGCGCTGCAGGAAGACCATGAGGAAGCCGAAGCCCACGAAGACCATGGTGTGCACGTCCTGGAAGCCTGTGGGCAGGCCCTCACCGGTCAGCCACCCACTTCCGCCCTGGCCTCCAGCGCCCTCCCCACCTGCAGGTGAGCCTGTAAAACTCCCCAGGCATGGCCAGTGCAAGAGCTGACCAGCCAGGAGCAGCAGGGCCCAGCCCGCTGCCCGGCTGCTCTGACTAGCCTGGACTGGGAATTTGAGCAAAGGGCTGAGCGGGTGCTCACGGAGCCCCATGCAGCTCTAGAGTCAGTCTTGTTTAAAAGGAAAGGGTAAAAAAAAAAAAGCACAAAAAACCAGCATGACCAGTCTATCTGTCCTTCTGCCCCCGCCTTTGCCCCTGGAGCCCCAAATCCCCTTCCCCTTCATTTGGTTGTTTCCCTGTCTGCTGGGAAGGCCTTCTGGATGGCTAATCTTTATCCCTCTGACTTCAGGACCTGAATCTTCCAATTTGAAGATTGAAAAATAAAAAGAACTGGAGAGATGGCTCAAAGGACTACAGTTCTAGCTTTGCATGCAAGAGCTCTGGGTTTGATTCTTAGCAGCTCATATTGTCCCTTGAGTACCACCAGCTGTGGCCTAAGCCCCACCTACCCAGAAAAGACAGTGGGGCAGGGCTGTGCTGTGACTAGGGGATGATGCTTCTCTGGGAAATAGGGCCCCACTTTTCAACTTGCTGCTTTCTTAAGTTTGGAGGTTTTTTTTTTTTCATTTGGGGGCCACAGGTTGTGGGGCTAGCACAGGACTGACTCCTAGCTGTGTTCAGCAGCCACTCGTGGCAGTGCTTAGGGGACCATATGTGGTAGTTGAGCCTGGGTCAGCCTCATGAAAGCTGGCACTTTAACTCTGTACTCCCTCTGGCTCTAGCTTGAAGATTTTCACTTCGTATGTGAGTTACTTGAATTTTACTAATGTTAGTTAATGTCTGGCTGCTGAACAGGGAGATTTGGGGCTTTTCCCCCCCTCTTTTATTTTCTACTTGATACCACTGTGCATAAAAATATGAGTTAATAAAATAATACACATGGATACTTTGCAAATCGGGTAAATGCTGGCAGTTTGCTTTGGGCTCATTTGCTCTACTTCAAGCTCCAGCATCAACTTGCATAAAGGGTTTGAACAACTCAGTGTTAGACTCAGGCAGTCTATCTGTCTTGGCTTGGGTCTGTGATTGCTGAATCTTTGGTTTTAGTGGAGAAATAATACGAAGAAGAGCAGTAGAAGCATATTATTGCAGTCCTTGTACAAGCGAGTGAAAAATCTGCTCACCCATGACCCCAAACTCCGCCTTTTATTTTGTTAATATTATTGTTATTGTTTTGATTTGGGAGCCACACCCAGCATTGTTTAGGGCTTACCCTTGAACGAAACCATTGTTCAGGATTTACCCTTGAACAATACCCTTGCCCAGGGGTCACTCCTGGTGGGGCTCTGAGGGACTATATACAGCACTGGGATTGAATTTAAGGCAGCATGCAAGGCAATCATCTAACTCACTATACCATCTCTTCAGCCCTAAACGCCCTTTTATTTTTTTAAAATTTTATTTATTTATTTATTTTTGCTTTTTGGGTCACACCCGGCGATGCTCAGGGGTCACTCCTGGCTCATGCACTCAGGAATCGCTCCTGACGGTGCTCAGGGGACCATATGGGATGCTGGGAATTGAACCTGTGTTGGCCATGTTGGCTGCATGCAAGGCAAACGCCCTACCAGCTGTGCTATCGCTCCAGCCCCCCTAAACTCCTTTTTAACGATTTTTTAAATTTTCTTCGGCTTTTGGGTCACACCTTTGCTCAAGGGTTACTCCTGGATCTGCATTCAAAAATCACTCCTGGCAGTGCTCAGAGGATCAAATGCATTGCTGGGAACTAAATCCGGGGTGACTGAGTGCGAGGCAAGCGCTCTTCCTGCTTGTATTATTTCTCTGACCCCATAAAGTTCCTTTTAAAATTCCTATTTTCGAGGCCACACGGTGCCAAGAGAAAGCCCTGAACACCACAGGATGTGGGCCTTCCAAAAAAAAGTAGCCTGAAGAACTAAGCAGGTGCTCTGCATGTGGAATGCCTGGGCCAGCCCTCAGCATCAATCGTTTTTGAGCACTGCCAGACGTGGCCCTCAAGCAAACAATACACACACACACGCACATGCACACACACACACAGACACCACATACACACAGCACACACACATCCACCACACACATACACACACACATACACATACCATACACACATACACATACCACACACACCACACACACACACACACACCACACATACACCACACACACCACATAAACACACTCACTCACACATACACCACACACACACACCACATACACACACACTCACTCACACACACACTTTGAGAAACTTTGAGAAACTTCTGTGGAATTCAGTACTAGGAAACTCACATCCCTGGAGGAACTGCTTTCCCAGACTCATTGTGCACACACGGGCCAGGCCCCTCCGCCTCTCTGTGGAGAGGAACAGGTAGCAGCTGCGGGTGGCAGGCTGCGGCCCCAGGAGTGGAAGTCAGGCAGGGATCAAGATGACAGAGGCCAAGTTTCCTTAACTCTGATAATAATCCAGAAAGATTAATAAAAAATTGTTTTTTTCATGACTGCCTGGAAGCTCAGAGCTGCACAAGAATCTCATTCTTACAGTGTTGTCTTCTGTGTCTCCTTGTACTTAGATTTTTTTTTTTTGCCCCTGGGGGAGTGGGGCGGTTGGTCATGCCTGGCAGTGCTCAGGGCTTACTCTTGGCTCTGAGCTCAGGGATCACTCCTGGCAGGCTCAGGGGACCATATGGGATGTTGGGTATCAAATCCGGATTAGTCATGTGCAAAGGAAGTGCCCTCCCCACTGTACTATCTCTCCGGCCCCTGCATTCTTGGACTTGTGCCCTTGTAGAAGGAAGTGTCATCCTTGCGCAGGGGCCATGCTAATCTTCTCTGTATCGTTCCAATTTTAGTATATGTGCTGGTGGCGCTGCAGTAGAAGGAAGATATAATTAAAAATATCATGAACATTTTTTTCTTAATCCAAATAATTATCAACTAGTTAAAATTTTCTGATTGAGCCTGCCTGCCTGCTTTCTTTCTTTCTTTCTTTCTTTCTTTCTTTCTTTCTTTCTTTCTTTCTTTCTTTCTCTCTTTCTTTCTCTTTCTTTGGGTTTGGAGTCATACCTTGCAGTGCTCAGGGCTTACCCCTGGCTCTCTGCTCAGGGTTCACTCTTGGTGGGGAACAGGGGAACTGTTGTGGTACTGGAAATGGAACCCAGGTCATTGTATTCAAGGCAAGAGCTGTACTATCGCTCAATACTATTGCTGTACTATCACTCTGGCCCCTCTGGTTGAGAATGCAATCAATAATAGAAAAGCAAGCTCTTATGTTTGGGGTGTTTTGAGGTGGGGTGTGTTTGGAAATCCCAGGCAGAGGGTGACTGTGTCTGGGCGCAGAGAACAGAGCTCAGCTGCCCATCACATTGGTAATTATGCCCCCAATCTCATGCTATATCTGCTCTGCTCATGCCCCAAATCCTCTAACAGGCAAGGAAGCACTTAGAATTCCACTCACAGCCTAAGTTCTCTCTAGCCTTGCCACCTGATTGTTTTCTCCTTGGGCAAGCAGTAAGATGGCATGTCCATTCTTTGGCTAAGGACAGCAACATTAACCAGGGGGGGTTGGGTGTCCAGTGCAGGCTAGAACCACTCCAGAACTTGTCTTGTATGGTAATAATATTTACTTCTTCTGCCCTGGGTTTGTTTGCAATAAAAACTCAGTGCCTTGGACTTTCAACTGGAAGAACCTCCTTTCCTGGGGGCTGTTCCAGTGACTTTTTCAGGGACTGTGGCGGAGAAAGAGCTTTCCTAGCTGGATGTGGGGGAGTAAGAACATTCTCTTCTGGGGATCCTCCACCAAATGCACTCACTGGGGAGAAGACGAATGCTTTCAGAGCCACTGACTGCCCCTCCTGACTCCCTTCGCAGAGCTGCCAGATGATTTTGCAATGAGGCAATGAAAGCCAGGACCTGTGATGTGTGTGTGTGTGCGCGTGCCACACCCAGCAGTGCTCAGGGCCTACTCCTGGCTTTGCACTCAGTGAGCACTCCTGGCAGCCTCGGGAACGATATGAGGTGACAGGGATTGAACCCAGGTCAGCCATGTGCAAAGCAAGTGCTGGACCTACTGTCCTATTGCTTGGTCTGAAAGCGAAGACTTTTCACATCCCATGGAGCTGCATGTAAATTCTCTTACCAGATGGTTTTGGTTTGGAGCCGGCACCCAGCTATGGTCAGTGTTTACTCCTGGCTCTGTGCTCACGGATCACTTCCGGTTGTGCTCAGAGGACCCTATACTGAGCTGCTGATTGAGCTCTGGTCACAGCATGGTCTTCTCTGCTGACTTATCTCTCCAGCCCCCTGATAATATGAATTTAAATAAGCCACTTAATAACTCTTTTTGTTTATGGGTCACACCCAGAGTGCTTGGGCCTCTGATCTCAGCATTCACTCATGGCAGAGAGACCATGCTTGAGAGACCATATGCGGTGCTGGGAATTGAACTCGTGTTAACTATATGGAAGGCAAGTGCCCTACCTGCTGTACTATCTTGCCAGCCCCACTGGTCCTACAATTAACATTTTGAGTCTCAGTTTCCTGATTTGAAAAGACAGGACATAAATGATAAGGAGCAGGAAGAAGGGATGGAGTATTTGCCACACTCTCCCCAGCTGCCTCTAAGATGCCAGATGGGTCACAAAATCCTTGGGCGCCCTACCCTACCTTTTCAAAATAACCCTGCTTCCATCTGTGCTGCAAGCAAGGTCTAGGAAGGACATGTACAGGGCCAGCTGGGACCAAAGATGGTGGGTAGGGCACTTGTCTTATATGCAGCTGTTCAATCCAGGCATCCATAGGGGTCCCCAGCCAGAAGTGATCTCTGTGCATAGAGCCTGAAGTAAGGCCTGAGCACCTGTGGGTATGCCCTTTCCTCCCCAAAAGGAGGAGGCCAATCCAGATTCCTTCGTGGAACCCTTTCTTACATTTGCCCTCTGGCCCCAATAGCCATAGCATTTTCTCTCTTTCCACTCCTGTCTCTAGGGACAGAGACTGAAATATCTGGAAGCCAGAAAAACAGATCCTAGCCTGGCTGGTTGTGGGGTCTTGGCAGGTGATGTGGCATCCCTGCCTTTTCCCAGTGAGAGGAATGGAGCAGAGGGCACTGGGGGACCTTCCTCTGATGACAGAAGCCACCCCCAGGGCAGCCATGGCCTTGTACTGGCCAGGCCTACAGTCCAGTGCAGCTGCAGGATTTCCTTTCATCTCCCGAATCAAAGGGCAGTGCCACGCCCCTTTGGCCCTGACCCCTTCCTGGACACAGGGACAGGTGAAGACCCGGCTCATCAAAGCCGGCATCTCATGTGTCCCTCAGCTCCCCCTCCACAGACACCCCCCTCCCCAAAGCCCCAAAGTCAACTTAGGACAAAAAAAGATGGGATCCCTGCCCCACTCCCCTCACCACAGTGCAGGGTGTGAAGCTGGGAGGGGAGTGATAGAGAGGGAGTACCTGGGAATACACGGGGCGGAGGCTTGAGGGACGCATCCTGGAGCAGTGAGTGGGAGTTCAGGCCGGCACCCAGGTCAGACCTTTATTTGTGTTAAGATAGACAAGGACCTAGAGATAAATCAAAGCTGAGCCCATGGGGCATGGAGTGACAGCACAGCGGGTAGGGCGTTTGCCTTGCACGCGGCTGACCCGGGTTCGATTCCCATCATTCCATATGGTCCCAAAAGCACTGCCAGGAGTAATACCTGAGTGCAGAGCCAGCAGTAATCCCTGTACATTGATGGGTGTGACCCAAAAAGAAACACACACACACACACACACACACACACACACACACATTAAAAAAAAAAAAAAGAAAAAAGAAAAAAAGAAGCCTGAGCCCATGCTTTGCACACAGGAAGCGTGGCTTCCGTCCCTGACACTGCACAGGCCCTGAGGAGCGACTCCTGAGCAGAGTCAGGTAGCTTATAAGCAGTATCAGGGTAACCCAAAACTGAGAGTCGGGGAAATAAAGTACAGGAGAGATAGTTCAGCAGAGAAGTCATGTGCCTTGCAGGTGGTAGACCAGGTTTGATCTCTAGCACCATGTAGGGTCCTCCAAGATAAGCCAGGAGTGACCTCAGAGTACAAAGCCAGGAGTTAGCCTTGTTAAGTGTAGTCCAAAAAACAAAAACAAAACCAAAGCAAAAAAGTCCTTGCTCCTCTCAACTCAGACCTTTCCTCCGAATGCCCTGGCTTTGCACAACTCAGCTGGGGCTCTGACTTAGCCTCAGCTTCTGGGGCTCACCTTTCAAGAAGGGCTGAGGGTGCAATCTGGGGAAGAAGGTGCTGAAGGTCTGGCACCTTGAGCTCTGGCTCTTTCCTATCTGCAGCCCAGTGAGCTTCAATTTTTGGGGGTCGGGGTCTGGACCAAGACAGGGTCAGGTGGAAAGAGAGGCTGCTTCCAGCTCAGCCAGAAAGGTAACAACAGCCCCAGGTTTTTATAAGAGACTCCCACAAACTGGCCTTCTGTGAATCCTTCAGAGGCATCCTTCTCCCCATTGACCAGATGGGGAAAACTGAGGCTGGAAAAAGACTCTGAAGCATCTGTGATGATCTGAGAAATCTGGTGTCCTTGCTCCCAGCTGCCCAGAACTTGAATCCCCAGCCTTGGTCTCCAACTTTGAAGGAGAAAAGGGGATTCGGGGCTCACCCTCTTCTTTCTGGGCCTTGCCAGCAGGGGGGTAAGGCCATGGTCCATGGAACAAAGGGTGCTTGAGTCCTAGTCCCAGTTTTGTCACTCAAATGAGTCACCAACGACGAGCAATGCCTCCTCCCTCCTATATGAGCTGGACTCCCTGCTCTGGATGCCTCCTTCCTGACAGTGCTGTGAGCAGGTATTGTGCCCCCCTATGCATCTGGACGGAGCTGCTTAAGGAGCCTGGTGATTCTGCACCCCACCAGGCCTGCGTGCGTGCCTTCAGTGCTGTACCTGGCCCCTCTGACTATCCCTTCCTCCTGCACAGGAGTCTCTTCCTAGGCAGGTGAGGTGGGTGGTGAAGGGGAATCTCAGCAAGGCACAGGCCAGCGGAACACCCTGGGACAGTGGGAAGGTCGCACACGGGTGCAGCTAGCACTGGGGCTTTAGATTTGGTTTCAAACTCCAGCCCCCAGGGGCCAGAGAGATCCTACTGTCCTACTGTGGGTAGGATGCCTGCCTTGCACGTGGCTGACCTGGTTTCCATCTCCGTCACACCATAGGGTCCTGAGTCCTGCCAGAAGGGATCCTTGAGTACCGCCGGGTGTCCACCCCCCAAAATCCAGCTCTCTAACAACTTGACTCGAAACTAATCCCGTAACCTCTCTAAGCCCCAGTTTCCCCATCTTGGCTCCCTCGTAAACCGAATAAGCTCCTGGTTGTCCCACCCTCGATGTGCTATCTGGAACTGAGCAGAAAGGGTGTCATTATCCACCAGGACATCTTCCTTTCGAGCAAGAGAGTTGCTGGCACAGCCCAGGCTGCCCACCTCGGCCAGGGCATGCAGGGCCCCTCCCCAGACACAGGGAGCTCGGTATCTCTGTTCCCCGCGCCCCTCTCGCCCTCACTCACTCGGATAACGAAAGTAAAATGTATTGTCCGCATCGCTGTGATTGCCCCCATGCCACAGGGCAGCGTCGGTCTCGTGGTCGTAGCGAACAAAGACCGCGAAGAGGATGGCGGTGGCACCCTGGAAGAGGAGGCACAGCAGGGAAAGCTGCAGTCGCCGGCTGGCGGCGCGGCGCGGGGTCCCGGCCATGGCACAGAGGCTGCCAGTCCCGCTCTGGACACACCAGGTCTGCGGGTGCAGCCGCCCGCTGGTGGGCGCCCCTAGCAGGAGGCAGGCCCCGCCCACCTAGGGTCCCGCCCACCTAGGGTCCCGCCCACCGCGGGCCCAGCCCACG